CACTTATAAATTGCCACCAACATTTTTTCAAGAGAATAGACTTGGCAAACCCTTATTTTCAGCTACCCTTAACCATTTTGCGTAAGGTCACTATGAATGTCTGCTGGTTCAGCTCTCTGAACTGGTTTATGATTCTAAATCAAGAGCGGAGCAAGCAAATAATAGAACCTTGCACCCATCCTTCTCAGTAATTAATGGATTAAACTCATTATTACGCATATTCTACATCTTATTAGCATGAGTCTTATTCACCAGGAAATCTTGAATGGGCTTCAAATGGCAGCAAGAGTAACCTTGCAAGAAGCAGAGCCAGCATAAGTCAAGTAAAACGATTTGAGGGAAAGGAGATGGGTTCATTTCCCAATTTTTGGGGGAGGTGGAATAGTTGCTACTCACAGTTTGGGTTTCTTGCCTATCTTTACAAATCAATGCTCCATTAAGATAGAAATCTTCATAGTTATAATGCATTGTTTATCTCTATGCTTGCTAGATGAATCTAGGGATACGGTTCCACCATCTATTTTTACCCAATTGGCCAGGGAGTTGGTTAAAGGCACTGATCCATCCAACCCCCACCCATACCAAAAAAATTATGTTTTCAGCTTAGCCTGAACTGCTGATTGCATGATCACACGGAGGGCTGCAAAGAAGAGGGCTAGATTGTGCCTGCTGGGATTTAGCCTACTGTGGAAACGTGCTGCAGGGCTTGTCAGAGGTCTCTGCACTGCTCAGTGACAGGAGCTGGAGTCCTTGCTAAGCCAACAAACAGTGACATGATCAAAAGTACTGATGGTCCTGGTGAGAAATTTGTACTTCTGTTCTGGGAAAAAAAAGAAAAGTCAGTGTGATATCACTTACAAGAAGAAATCACTTTTTTTCTTTAGTTTTCTGAAGCACTCCCTGTGTTGTACTGAAGACCTTCAGCCTGATTGCTTTCTTTGTGGTATATGAGATTTCATTTTTGTGATTCATGAATTTTTAACCTTTACTTGATTTTTTTCCCTGTTCTCAATATCCAGTAATGTTGTATTTTTAATTTGACACAGTTTTCTTACAGTTGAATATAAAAGGGTTTGATTTAATAGGGGCTTAATTTCCAGAAGTTGTGTTCTTAAAAAAAAAAGCAATTTTCTTGTATAGCTGAATGTATTATTTCATGGCTTGTGCACTGTTGCCAGTGATAGCAAGGACAGAGTCTCATCTGTATGAGTATTAAATCACCTTAAAACACAGTCAAATTAACTTTCTTTTCTTCCTTTCAAATTACCAAATAACTTGTACAGCTGTAACAGAGAGGACAACTTGGTACTTGGGTTGAACCTTGCTGCTGAAGTGGGATAGCTCACTTTTCCAGTAGGACTGTAAATAGTACCGGTGAAAATATTTTTAAAGTTCATATAGTAAAAACTTGGATACTAGAAACTGCACATTTAATCATAAGCAAATGTACTAAGAAAAGAGTTGGGTTTTTATAATATTCTTCAGAGTTAATTCCTGCAGCAGAGGAATTTGTCTGCTTGATAAGCTCAATAGATGGACATGTTCCTCTTGATATTCCCCTTAATGGGATTAGAAGGACTGTCTGGCTTGTTCCTCTTTACCTACAGCTGAGTAATGGTTGTGCATGTTTTCTTCCTAAATCTTCTTACATAGCCTTACTCTTCGGTGATGCAGGTTTTCTCTTGCAATGCTTCGTGCTAGCGTGTGCCTGACAAATGTCAGCAATAAGTTGTTGGCATTTTCTTGGGGGGGGGGGGGGGGGGGGCCCCTTTGGG